TACACATACAAATGTAATTTGACACACCCCCATAGGCAAAGTGGGGGAGAGCAAACACAACGAACGGTCACATCACAAGACCAGTCAAGCAAGAGAACAAAGCAAAGCAAAGCTCAGGGTGGATCTCAAGGACACCACACAATCTGAGCACAAGCAAGCGGCCACAAGGCCAGTTCACATGCAGAGTTATAACAGCAAGGCAGTACACTGATCACAACCGAGCAAGAGTAAACAAGCAGGTATAAAGATATATATCAGTGTACAACAAGAGCAAGTCAAGCAACCAGCAGGTGAGGCAGAGTGGGCAGAAGCCCAAGAGCAGTGCAAAAACGCTGATGGTCACCAGACCCGAGGGCCTTCGTAAAGACATCAGCAGTGTTGGCCCGAGAGGCCACGTAGGAAAGGCGGAGCTGACCACGCTGCTGCAGCTCGCGAGCAAGAAAGTAGCAAAGATCAATGTGCTTCGTTCTGTTCTCCAGTCTCTGCTCGCGACACAAGGCAATGCTTGCCTTGTTGTCGACGTACAGAACAGGAGGAGAACGAGGCCGCTCCCCCAAGTCGGTCAGCAGGTAGGTCAGCCAGCGTAGCTCCTGTGCAGCCATAGCCCCAGCGTAGATCTCTGCCTCACAGCTGGAACCAAGCACAGAAGACGAACGAGTAGACCTCCACGAGACAGAACCAGAGCCAAGACTAAAGGTGTAACCCTGTGACGACCGCTAAGTCGCCTGGTCGTCGGCCCAGGAAGCGTCTGAGTGACCTGTGAGTACCACTGAGCCACGTCCCCCAAGCACAAGCCCCATGCCCGGTGTACTGCACAAGTAACACAGTACCCTCTTCGCAGCATCCCAGTGTACCTTTCGGTGTCTACCGGGAGCCACGTAACAAGCCAGGATGTTGAGAGGGTACGCGAGGTCGGGTCGTGTGCACGTCATCAGGTACATGAGGCAACCCACAAGCCCTGGGTACGGACCACTCGGCTCTACAGACTCGTCCGAAGGTGGAGCTGAGAGCGAGTGGCCTGTAGGCAGGGGAGTGGGCTGTGGCGAGGACCTGGTGCACCATGTGTGACTGCGTCAGGGTGATGGTGCGCCGTGCTCTGTCCCGGGTAATCTCCAATCCAAGGTAGCTCCGCAGCTCATCCAGGTCAGTGCAGGTGTGTCTCTCCTGCAACTCCGCCTTCACTAGGGCCAGTGCCTAGTACGGATCCAGGGGATCAAAACACCGCTGACGTCCGCCTTGCGCCGCAAGGGGAAGACAGTGGTGTAGCGTGTGTAGTCGTCAACAACCAGCAGGAAGTAGCGTTCCTGGTCCGTTCCACCGACGGGGGCTGGGCCCCAGACGTTCATGTGGAAAGTCTGCAGAGGAGAAGTGGTCGGAGGAAACTCGGAGGAGTGAGGAGCGGCGCGCTGCCGCCCCTCGACGCAGGGAAGGCACGGCGGTGCAGGCGAGTGCGGGAGGGAGGGCAGGGACCTGGGAAGGCCAGAGACAAGGAGACGGGAGTGCATGCTGCGGAGACGCGGCAGCGAGGGGTGACCTAGGCGGTGGTGCCAGAGGAGAGTCTGGTGAGAGAGTACCCGACACGAGCAAGACGCTGCAAGCTGACCAGACGCAGACACCGGACTCGACGCAGCCACCTGACTTGACTCAGCCACCTGGGCAGACGTAGTGGTCAGTGTGTACAGACCGGACCCAGGCTGATGAGTGAACGTAGCAAGGTGACGGCCAGTCTGTGAGCACTTACAGATCGCCACACGCTGTCTTCCAGGAATGAAGGTGTCAACCCATACTGTCAGCAGAATGAACGAGAATGAGATGAACTAGCAGCATGCAGGAGTAGCAAACCCTAATTGGGTTGTACCCCATATGGGCTACCCCACTACAACCTACACAACATGCAGCATATAAGTTTGACACACCCCCATAGGCAAAGTGGGGGAGAATAAGAGGTCACAAGACCAGTCAAGAAAAGCAAAGCAAGCTCAGGGTGGATCACAAAGTCACCACACACTTTGAGCACAAACAAATGGACACAAGGCCAGTTCACATGCTGAGTTATATAATGCAAAACAAACAGTACAGTGATCAAAACCTAGCAAGTGTAAGCATGCAGGTACAAGTATATAGATCACAGTACAAACAAAGTCAAGAAGTGACCAAGTGAGGCCAAGTAGGCACAAGGCCTAGAACAGTATAGAAACGCTGATGATCACAAGGCTGAAGTGCCTTGGTGAAGATATCAGCAGTGTTGGCCGGAGAGGCCACGTAAACAAGACGAAGCTGACCATGCTGCTGCAACTCACAAGCAAGGAAGTAGCGCAGAGCGATGTGCTTCGTCCTGTGCTCCAGTCTGTGCTCCTGACACAAGGCAATCATGCCCTTGTTGTCGACGTACAGCACTAGAGGAGAACGAGGCGGCTCTCCCAATTCTGTAAGCTGGTAGGTGAGCCAGCGTAACTCTTGTGCAGCCATGGCCCCTGCGTAGATCTCAGCCTCACAACTGGAGCTGAGAACAGAAGATGAGCGGGTATACCGCCAAGAAACAGAGCCAGAGCCAAGGCTGAAAGTGTAACCCTATGACGACCGCTGCGTAGCCAAGTCGTCAACCCAAGAGGCGTCTGCGTGTCCAGTGAGGACAACTGGACCCCGTTCTCCAAGCACGAGCCCCATGCCCGACGTACTGCACAAGTAGCGCATCACCCTCTTAGCGGCCTTCCAGTGCTCTGGTAGGTGTCTCCCGGGCGCAACGTAGCGTGCCAGGATGCTAAGAGGGTAAGCAAGGTCAGGTCGAGTGCAGGTCATCAGGTACATGAGGCAGCCCACTCGGCTCTACGGACTCGTCTGAAGGTGGAGCTGAGAGCGAGTGACCGGTAGGCAGAGGAGTGGACTGTGGCGAGGAGTACTGGAAGTCGAAGCGCTGAAGGACATGCTGCACCATGTGTGACTGAGTCAAGGTAATGGTGCGCCGTGCTCTGTCCCGTGTGATCTGCAAGCCAAGATAGCTGCGCAGCTCACCCAGGTCTGTGCACGTGTGTCTCTTCTGCAGCTCCGACTTCACTAGGGCCAGTCCCTCAGTGTCAGCAGTGGCAAAGACCAAGTCGTCGACGTACACGAGGATGTAGAACAGCGGCAGCGAAGTGTTGATGCGTAGAAACTGCGACGGGTCAGTAGTCGAAGGAGCAAACCCAAGAGGCGCAAGCGTCATCGTCAGTGTGTCGTGCCACTCTCGGGGCGCCTGGCGGAGACCGTAGACTGGCCGCCGGAGGCTCCACTGGGTACCTGCAGGAAACGACCCAGTGAAGCCAGGTGGGCGGCGCAGCCAGATCTCCTCGTGCAGGCTGCCCTATAAGAAAGCTGTGCTGAAGTCAAGAGAGTGAAGCTCGTAGTCACGCTGAGCGACAACGCGCAGCAGCACCTGAAGAGTGGTCATCTTCGGGGTAGGGGAGAAGGTCTGGAAGAAGTCAACTCCCTCTCGCTGACTGAAGCCTCGTGCAACGTAACGCGCCTTGAAGACAGGCGGAGAACCCGGCGGCCGCTTCACCCTGAAAATCCACATGCCACTGACGATGTTCGCCCCAGGTGGGGGAACCTCGTTGACGTAAGTGCCTGTGGACTTCCAGGATGCCATCTCTGCGTCCATGGCTGTCTGCCACTGAGAGGAGTAGGGACCCTCAATCGCCTCTGCGTAAGAGCGCGGGGTCGGGATGTCTGGTGCATCCGGGTCTCCCTCATTTGAAATCAGCATGGACACGAGATGAGGTAAAGCAACTGCAAAACACTCAAAGTCCTCCTGCCTGTCCTCAAGGACGTCCGTGCCAAGAGCACATTCACCCCCGACTGACGGAGGACAGACAGACTCAGACCCAGCAATAAGACTAGCGGCGTAGTCGAGGCGACAAGCTGCAGCAAAGTCAACAAGCTCAACAACAAGGGCAGGCGCAGTAGTGGACTCAAACGAAGGGTCAGTGACAACAGTGGCTAGAAGACGTTTGACATTAGGACTAGCAGCACGAGCAAGGTCTAACTGCGGGTCAGGGACGTCAGGAAGAGAGGACGCAAGAGGAGATGGTAGAGGGACACGCTGTGGAACAGAGGAAGAACGAAGTGCCATAGGGTGCGTGCCGGGGACAGGAGAAGGACGCTGACGCGGAACACGACGACCAGTGCGAACAGCGCGAACAGGCAACGCATTACGAGACGCAGGCTCACGACGCTCTGTAAGACCTCCGTTCTGCTCAGTGTAAGGAGAAGGAGCAGGCAGTGGGGAGGCTGGCTGTAACTGCGGCTGTGACTGGTCAGGCGGTGGACACAGTAAGGGAGGAGTAAGGCCAGTAGAAGGCGGGAGACCAAGAACCTGCTGAAGCAGTGGAACGAAGTATGGTCGCGGCCACACAGCGCCTCCAGAACCAGCACCGACAGCACCAGCAACCCCAGGGCCAGCGCCTCCAGCTCCAGCAGCTCCAGTACCTCTAGTACGAGCACCTCCGGGACCAGCGGCTCCATCACCTCCAGCAGCTCTAGCTCCAGCTCCTGCAGCACCTCCAGCTCCAGCAGCTCCAGTACTTCCAGTACGAGCACCTCCGGGACCAGCAGCTCCAGCATCTCCAGCAGCTCCAGCTCTAACGGCTCCAGCTCCAACGCCTGTAGCACCTCCAGCTCTAGCAGCTCCAGTACCTCCAATACGAGCACCTCCAGGACCAGCAGCTCCAGTGCCTCCAGCTCCAGAGCCTCCAGCGGCAGGCCCCCCAGCTCCAGCAGCGCCACTTCGGAGGCTCCAGCGCCGAGCAAACCACTTGCGCAGCTGCGGTGGAGAGAGAGGCTCCCGCCGTGACGAGACACCTGTAGGACCTCCAGCAGACAAAGTACCTCCAAGCTCAGCACGTCCAGGCTCAGCACGTCCAGGCTCAGCACCCCCAGGCTCCGCACGCTCAGGCTCAGCACCCCCAGGCTCCGCACCCTCAGACTCAGCAACCCCAGGCTCAGCACCCCCAGGATCCGCACGCTCAGGCTCAGCACCCCCAGGCCCCGCACCCGCAGGCTCAGCACCCCCAGACGCAGCACCCCTAGCAGCACCAGAGTCGACAGCTACCTCGACAGGCTCGACAGGGTCTACCTGGGACACACCTGAGGGAGCTGGACCCTGAGGGGGGAGTGGGTCTACCGAAGGAGGACCTGGTGCGAGGAAGAGCGGCAGGGGGGGGGAGAGGGGCAGTGCGGTAGGGGAAGAGACGGTAAAAGGGAACCGACTGGTCAAACGTGACGTCCTGAGAGGGCATGACACGGCGCGAGGTGGGGTGGTAAAACTGCCAGCCAGGCGCGTCAGGGGGAAATCCAAGGAAGACACAGGGAATGGTGCGGGAGGTGAGCTTGTCCGCGGAAGTATCGCGGACAAAGGCACGAGATCCCCAAACCCGGAACACCGACGCATCGCCAACCTCTCCCGTCCAACGCAGTGTCGGCGAGGTCTCCGGCAAGGAGACACGGGGCCAGAGGTTGAGCTGATGCGTAGCGTATCGGACCGCAAACGGCCACAGAAAATGGGGGGCAGCCGCATGGATCATGGAGGTACGAGCGACCTCCATGACTAAGCGAATGCGGCGCTCAGCAACCCCATTATGCTGCGGAGAGGCCGGAAGCGTGAACGACTGGAGAATGCCCTCCCGACGACAAAAGTCTCGCAAGAGGTCGGAGGAAAACTCACCACCTCTGTCAGAGTGCAGACGCAGGACTGGAAGGTCCGCGTGGAACCGCTCGCGGAGCTGGGGACGGACAGCGCGGATTTAAGGGATCAAAACATCAGGGACCTCCCCCTTGCTGCGCAAGGAGAAGACCGTGGTGTAACGCGAGTAGTCGTCAACAACCAGCAGAAAGTAGCGCTCGCGGCCCTGTCCACGGACGCGGGCTGGGCCCCACACGTCCATGTGGAGAGTCTGCAGGGGAGCAGACGTCGCGGGAAACGAGGAGGAGTGAGGAGCGGCGCGCTGCCGCCCCTCAACACAGGGAAGGCAGGGAGGGGCAGGCGAGGGTGGGAGGGGAGGTAGATACTTGGGAAGACCAGAGACAAGGAGACGGGATTGCATGCCACGGAGGCGAGGCACGGAGGGGTGACCAAGGCGGTGGTGCCAAAGGAGCGTCTGGTGCGACAGGGCGCGACACGAGCAGGGGGCTGCTAGCTGACCTGACGCAGACGCAGACGCAGCTACCTGGGGAGGCTCAGTAGTCAGTGTGTACAGACTCGACCCAGGCCGACGGGTGAACGTGGCCAGGTGACGGTCAGTCAGGGAGCACGTACAGATCGCCACACGCTGTCCGCCAGTTGTGAAGGTATCAACCCATTCATCCTGAAGGACGGCGTTGCTCACCAAGTTCTTAGAGAACGAGGGGAGGTGAAGACCTGACAGTGAGCCAGACAAAACCGCCGGACACGGGAGAACAGTGGAGGAACGTACAAGGACTGGCCCCGCAGAGGGGTCAGCCAGAGAGACAGCAACAGGTGCAGGGAGCGGTGTGACTGTGGTACTGTCGCGAAAGAAACAGCGGGAAGCACCTGAGTCAAGCGTGAAGGTGTGCAAGGCCGCAGCAGATGCAGTACCAGAGAGAGCAGACTCACTAGCACCTAGAGCAGCAGCCTCTATACCTGGGTCTGGCGGCATACACAGGTAACAGTCACCCTCAGCACTAACAGTCAATGCATACATGGCAGCAAGGATAGGATCATAATCAAGAGCAAATATATCCACACATTGCCTTAGCAGCTCTGCCCAGCGGGGGAGCTCAGCCGCGTCGGAAAACTCTGCGCGAAAGGCATCGTCAAGACGGGAGAAGCAGCGGTACTGGGTGTGAAGCTTCCCGCATGTCTGACCAGAGCGGTCACCTGTGCGAATGACATACGGGCAGCGACCACTACCCCCAGCCGCCCCACGCTGAGCAAACCACCCACGAAGCTCCTTAGGCGAAGGGGTCTCACGCTGACGATGCTACTGCTGCCTCTCACCACCGCCAAAGCCTCCCCGCTGACCGTTACCACCCCGGCCGCCACCACTGCCGCCGCCTCCACTCCCACTACCGCCACCACTGCTGCTGCCACCACTCCCTCCTCCGCCCACCACCGCCTCCACCGCTGCCACCCCCACCACCCCTGCCTCCCTTGCCCTTGCCGTTGCGGCGCCTCCCACTAGGAGCAGACGTGGCTCCTACCTCCTAAGCATGAAGGTAGTCAACAGCTGCAGGAGAGGCGACTGAGGGGACAAGGGGGGAGGGGGAACACCCCTCAAAGAAGTGAGTGCGAGGAGTGCCACGAGAAGCGCCTACAGCGACTATGCTAGTCTCAGCTGCAAGGAGGTGCTTCTCGAGCAGGTCGACAGTGAGGTCTGTGGGGTCAAGGGCGAGAAGGAGGTTCCTCGCTGCGCTAAGAGAGTCAGGGAGGCAAGTGACGATGAAGTAGAGAGTGATGTACATGGGAGGGGGGTTCTTGACTAGAAACTCGGCGGGAAGCGCGGCTCGGTAGCGGACGTCACTAGTGCGAAGGTGAGTGACGAGGTCGGCGACTGTGGCAAAGGCGGACAGCTCGAGGAACATGTAGGGCAGTAGAAGGCGGCCTAGAGCAGCAGTGGCCGGGGAAGAGTAACGAGCGACTACAGCGTCGTACATGGCTCTAGCAGTCTTGTGCTGGCCAAAGTGAGCGCGTTCGGCTAACGGCAGGTGGTTGCGAACGGTAGGCGAGCAGCAGCGTCACGGGTAAGCCACTGTGAGCGAGTCGCACTGTCAGCTTTGGCGGCAGGGGCGAGAGAGGCTCCAGACGTGAGGTCAAACAGCGAAACACCGTCCCTAGAGTCGCTTAGTAAGTATAGCTGTAAGTCATCGAGCCACGCATCGAACTCTATCGGGCGGCCCTTCGGATCGAAGGTGAGGACGCTGAGAGTTGCCATAGCGGTCAGAGCAGTCGAGCGCGCTAGCAGCAGGGCAGTGCCGTTGAGATTCAAATCGACTGAACGGTCGAAATTCCAACCTTTTCACCAATAATTCTGAGGGATGTTCGGAAATCGGATCGAGGGGGACTTAGAAAAATTGCGCGGAACTGGTTTTTACATCCTCGTATCGGCGCTTTCGTCGTCGCCCCCGCGGCTTTTAAAGGCCGGTTCTAAGCGGTTGAAGACCTTGCGTGTAAACCCGCTCTGATACCAAGTGTGAGGATATGGTTCAAGAAAGATAAAACTATTGAATGATCCACCTGGGTATAAGGCGATGCTATATATAGGCTCGACACAAAGGCAATAACCCGGGTGTTACTAGAAGGTTCCGCGGGTTGCGAAGCGTCCTGAACGGGTCCTTCCCGAATTCGGTAGAAGGCAATTTGGTGGCAGCCGAAAAGCCTAGAATTCGGTGCACTCAACCTAGTTCGTTGCCTATAACTATAATAACTATAGTAAAGCAACGAGCCTAGGAAATCAAGCAAAAGCATGCAAGATAAAATAAAGCTAAGCTAGATAATGCGTAATAAAGCAGAATCAAGCAAGTAAAGTTCAGCAAAGCCGTCGTACTCTTACAGTTACTGTCTGTGAAAGTACAATGGCTTATGCTTGCTTTGCTAGCTTGCCTTGCCTTTATTATGCTACTTGTAGCTTAGGTTTATTTTATCATGCATGCTTATGCTTGATTTCCTAGGCTAGGTGCATTCCTATATTTTATTATAGTTATAGCACCGAACGAGGGTCCGTGTTTCAGATTCCAGTCCTTTCGGTTGCCGTCGAATTGCCCTCTACCGAATTCGGGAAGGTTCTGTTCGGGACGCTTCGCGACCTTCAGAACATTTGTGTAACACCTGGGTTACTGGCCTTGTGTCGAGACTATATATAGCCTCGTGTTGTACCCAGGTGAATCATTCAATACATCTCCTCTTTCCTGAACTCGATCCTATCAATCCTCACACTGTCCCACGAGCAAAATAGCTGCATGCTTCTTCACCAAGCGCCTACCGCGTCCGAAATTCCAGTACTGCATGATGATGACTGGACTCGGTCATATCACCAACAGCACCGACAACATGGAACTCCAGAATTGAAGGGGAGTGTTGGGAAAAAAAAAACGACTTGTGCAATTTAGTAGTTCGATAGTAAACACTACAGTAAAAACGTAGAATTATTATGTGTGCATGTTACTGTAGCGGGTTTCCCTTCGCATGAGTTACAGGTAGTAGTGCGAACAGTCCGTGACACAGGAACATACCGCTTCATAGAGTCAACTCGACAAATATACTACTTGGTAAACATGTACATTTCTTAATAGGTGCTTTCTTAGACTATAAATCTCTTGTACTTTAATTTTTTATCAATTGTGTTCTCATATTCAACCAGTACAATTTTTGTGATGAACGATACACTATAAATGCACAATACATCGGCAGTTGTAACTGTAGCTGATGGGCCTAGGGGGCTTGCACCCTCCGTACCCATCCGGGCCTTTTAAGGGGGGAAAAAACCGTCCTCGGCTTCGACCAGATGTACTTAAAACCCCGTGCCCACGTGGTCGGCTTCGCTGTGCTGTCAAAAATCTTGTACAGGGTGCGGCGCTCATCATCATCCAACCCAGGATGTGTGGTCCCAAACCTCTTTGCTGCTGCCTTGGCGCGCTTGTAAACTCTCACATGCAGCTGAAAAGCCGCTGCGATCCTCGTCAGGGCCCTTCTCGCCCGAAACGTGCCTCGCTCAAGGCCGCATCGCACCTCTCCACCAAGATGCGATGTAAGGCAATTGACGAGATCGTGGCCTCGGGAAATCCCGAAACTGTCCCCTGCCGCTGGAACAGCTAATCCCCCAATGACTCAATTTTCCGGCACGGGTTAAGCATGCGCAGTGCCTGCAGCAGTGCCTTCACCACCAGTTGAATGCGCGGTCAGCTGAAAAGACCATGATCCAACGTTTTGAGCAGTGCAGCCGCTCTCCCACTTGCAGATTTTTTCTATGAACCCGTAGCATCACATCACGTGTTCGGTTTGGCAGAACCCTCGAGTCACTTACCCCGATACTCCTCTGCCAGCCAATCGGGTGGCCCAACTCCTCCTCCTAGGAAGGCTGCTGCTTCGGCTTTCAGTCATAGCGCTTGAAACCCTCCTTGAGCTGCTTCAGCTGTGCCGGGCACTCCCCCGCCCAAATTTGAGAGCACAGTAGCCTCGTCTTAGGGGCCCCAGCAGGGCCAAGAAAACGTTCCCCCTTGACCACCGCGGGAACCACTTCGTGAGGGAGAAACGTGCAGAGCCTCTCCCTAGCGTCCCCCAAAACCCCCCTGAAGCAGCTGACTGCTCGGCAGACTAGGGTTTCCTCTTCCACACTCTCGATTCTCCACACGCCATGGCTGGTAACCGCCCTTAGCACAAACTTGGACACCGCCGGCACCGTGCGCGCCGTGGCCGGCGCCAGCAGGAGCTGCTTTCAGTCATCTGGAGTTGCGTAAAAAATCCTCTTGGCCAGTTTGGCTCCGTCCGTTCCAGTGCCGAAAACCCTTTCCAGTGCCACCTTGTCTTTCAGCGCCCTAACTCCGTTCTCATCGATGGCGATGAAATCCTTCATGACCGCACGCCTTAAATGTTTTGCCGCTTTCTGCTTCCCTCCAGGCCACTTCCCGTTCAGCAACAGGCGGCGGTTAAAGAGGAGAAGCTCCTGCTCAACGTCCCAGCATGAAGACACTGTGATGCTCGAGGGGAAACTCGATTCCAAGAAGAGCTCGCAAGTGCGCCTCCACCTCACGCTCCTGCCCCTCCATTCCTTCATCAGGCTCGCGTGCACCCAGAAGACCTGAAGGTCGGGGACATCCAGCGCCGCCTCCGCAAGATCCGCGCGCAGGCCCAGTGGCTGCGATACCAACAGCGCGATTCGCCTGGCCGCCAATCCACCCAGCTCCGCAAATGGGTCACAAACGCCGAGCCCGCCCAGCTTAAGCGGTTTGAACATCAGTTCTTGGCTCCATAAAGCAAATTACTTCCCCGTCGTTGCATGATTTCCCGTGACGAAATTGTGCAGCAGCTTCACTATCTTCGCCCAGACCTCCAGCGGGGGAGGATACACCTGAGCTTGGAAGGTGAGGA